TCAAACATAAATAACAAATAATTTGTGTTAACTTTAAAACCAACAGTTCAAATGAATTAAATATACTACATCAACACTGGCAAAAAGAGTCGTTTTATCAAATGCAGTATTTAAAAACTGTCATTGGCCTGATATGAGACTATTTTGCTATATTCATAAAAAAACTAACAGTGTTCAGTAAGTTTTGTATGATTTTTAGTAAAAATATATTAATATTTCTATGACCATTTGTGTATAAGAAGGAAAATTTGTCAATGCATCAAAAGTGTTCTCCTTCAGCAATAGTTTTGTTCAAAGTCAAAGCAGCAAAATTTAAAAATAAAAAAGCCTAAAGCAAAGCAAATAAGTTAACTAAACTGTGGAACAAACTATAGATCTGACGCAAAAAATTTCTATGAATTTAATTTATTACAAAATTAATGATAAACATGGATTTATATGAATTCAAATATTTTATAAAATAAGAAACAAAGGTTTCTACGCGCGTAAACCTCAAAAAAATTACCAAAAATTGTTTTCTGATGATGCTAATGAAAATTAAAAAGCTATTGTTACCTTTGTTTATTACTAGCTTCAATTTATTTATGGGAATCCGTTAAAATTATTTAATTATTTATTATCTAATATCAGCATTTTTGTATTAAAAAATAATGGAGTTTTAAGGTATTGAAATAAAAATCAAGAATTATACAAGCTGTTGTGTTGAATTTATATTATTGGTTAACTTAACAAAATGATTGCTGAAAGGTTATATGGTCCTACATAAACGGTTGTCAGCATATATAACCAGAACAGCATGGTCATGGTAATCTTGCATACAAAAAAAGGATATTAAAGATTTTTCTATAAATATAGGATTTATTTTCATCAAGTGGTATGAACATAGATATTTCATAAGTGGCTACTGCCACTCGTGAAAAAATATCATAATTTTCATATCACAAAATGTAAATAAACCTTTTTTTTTTAGAAAAAAAAATTATTTTCTGTTTTATATCATATACTTTTCACTTTTTTTTGACCTTGCAATTCTTAATACTTCTACTTAATTTTGCGTATTGGTTTAAAAATTAGGAAGAAATTAGTCTGGCAAAACACCAGTGAAAATACAGTAAATATGTTTCAGTAAAGTAAAAGGTGTAAATACGGAAAATAAAAATACGCACTTTATTTCGTAAATGTTTTTCAATATTTCATTTATAAATAACTGTATATAATAAATGATTATATACAGCCATATAACTTGTCAAAAATGTTATAACAAATGAATTATATATATTTCTGTACTTGTAAAAAATGAAATAAATTCATAAATGGACAGCAGCTGCCATATATACTTTATATAAACATCACTATTATCAAATGAGAAGCGATGTTACAAACATGCAGCACTGTTACTCTTAATGCTAGCTTTTGGTTATATAATTATGTTAAATAATGAAAAGCAATGCGTAACAACTACTGCAATAAACAAATAATAACAAGCTACAAGTTAGTTTTGTGTCTTACAATCTAAAGATTATTTCATAAGCCACAAGGCTAAAATTTTACAAATAAATTTAACTGAGGATGTAACTTATAGACTAAGTATTGAGGGTGTTAATTTCAGAATCAGTATTTAAGTATTGTATAAGTGTCTAGAATTCCCAGTCCTCATCAAAATGTAGGTCTTCCATTTCTTCTGCCAAGTCTTCTACTGCTGAATCATCTACAAATATATAACATTTTAAAATATATTAAACATGCCAGTATACTACTAATTATATAGATTTTTGACTGGTTATACAACCCTAGATAAACAGTTGTTAGGAAATATAACCCGAGCCACAAGGCAAGGGTTATATTGCAAACTGACACTTATGTATGGTCATATAACCAACCTGTCTGGAATATTTATAACCAATTTATAATACAGCAAACTTTCTTTTTTAGAGAGAAAAGTGAGATTTCTTCATAAATTGACATCAGCCGTGTATATAAAACTATACAAACATCACAATTATGCAATGAAAAGGCTCTCTAAAATTATATACAGCTACATGAGAGATATAGAATTAATATCAGTTAGATAAAAGGAATGCCACTGAGGTAAAAAACTAGAAATGTGTCCATTGGACACGGATGCCCCCACACGCCACTGTTCTGTCAATCTTATGATTCTAGGTCAAATATTTTTTAGACTACATGTGCCACAAGTTGAAAACTAAAAATCAACAAAGGGCCATAATTCTGTTAAATTTGGTCGCGGCAAAAAATCCTTCCTTTACTACCATCTACACATTAAGGTTGTTCATCCCTGGAAGTTTAAGCAAAATCTGCCATCCGGTTTAAGAGGAATTGCGTTCACAAAATTTCTACATAGTATATAGTGAAAAAATCAACAAAGGGCCATAATTCTGTTAAATTTGGTCGCAGCAAAAATTCCTTCCTTTCCTTCCTTTACTACCATCTACACATTAAGGTTGTTCATCCCTGGAAGTTTAAGCAAAATCTGCCATCCGGTTTAAGAGGAGTTGCGTTCACAAGATTTCGGGACGTACGGATGGACAGACGTATGGAGGGACGGACGTTCTCACAGGACAGTAATTATGTGGCTACTCTATTGTTCTCTCTATTGTTCTTTTTAGCCACACAAAAGAAAATAGCCACATAAAAGCATTACGGAATGAATGACATCAAAGAGAAAGAACAGTTACCTATTGTCCCTCTAGCCACATAATTACTCTCCTGTGAGTGCGGAAAGACAGACGGACAGACAGACAGACGGACGGACAAGTGCAACGCTATATGCACCCACTTTGTGGGGGCATAAGAAGCCTAAAAACCTTAAATTTGAAATTCAAGCAATGATCAAGTGTTGCACTTAAACTGGAACAATCTGCAAAACATAAGAATTAAATTGAAAATCAAAGGGCTGCATGCTCTGTGATATTTTCTGATCTTTCCTGTATAAGTTTATTTTTATATACTATAGTTCACCTTACGCAGCGACTGCGTTTAGATTTTTTTTTTAGATTGATACATATGGAATTTGCATGCCTAGAGTTGCATCAAAAAATCATTTTTCATTTTTTATGACAGCCTCACTTTATCCTTGCATATCGTGGCTACTTCTTAAAAAAGACACTAAAAAAAGGTTGCCTCGACTAGGATTTGAACCTTAGTCCTCTCACACCCTAAACGAGCTCACTACCTCTGCACCACGATGAAGTAATACGTATGTAGCTTGAATGAAAACACATACATTGTAATTAAAAATTGAGAATTTCCATTTCGTGTTTGTAATCCTTATTAATTTCGAGGTATTATGTTGACGATAAACCTATTGTTAAACATTGATGAAAATAATTTAGCTGAAATCTTCTCGCAAAAACAGTCCGACATGTATATATTCCACTACTCGACAGTCAGATTTATTTGTGTACTACGCTCTGGAGTATTCGGTAATCGACATAGCTAAAAATAGCATTTTCATTGATTAAGCTTTACGGAAATAGTCGAACATTTTTTATTGGGTAAAAAAGATATTCATCCGCGAAATTTGTGATTGTAACCTCATATTTCTATTGACTAATCTAAACTTTGAATGCACTGTAATTCGTTAAATGCCTGCATTAAAAATTATTCTTTCTTTTAAATTGCTGGTTTTTAAGCAGTTTTGAGTAAGAACTACTTTGCGTTGTTAGGTCTGTGAGGAAATTTTGTGTTAGACCGTGGATGTTAGCTTTGTATTTACTGATCTTGCGATCAGAAGATACAATTAATTTTTGCTTGGATTTTTGTCCAGTTTGGAAGAAAAGCTTTGCAACATTTCATTTTCTGGTTGTGTTGCACCATAAAAATATTTATTCTATGAAATCAGATTGAGAGAATAATCTGAAATTTTGTAAACAATATATTATTCCATACCAAAATCAAATGATTAACTAGTCTCGAAAAAATATTTTAAGTCCCTTTATGTCAGTGGAGTCCCTTTAATGTCACATGATGATAATGTGCCATCTAATATAACAACATTGATTTATTTATAAATATTCCTTCCTTCCTTTTCTTCCCCTTCCTTCCTTCCTTCCATCCTTACATACATCCATTTTTCTTTCTTTCTTTCTTTCCTTCATTCTTTCTTTCATTTTCCTTATTTTCTTTCTTTCTTCCACTCTTTCTTTCTTTCTCTCTTCCTTTCATCCATCTATCCATCCATCCATCATACAATCACTCCATTCAAAAATTCACTCCATTCAGAAAAAAACAAATGAATAAAAAAACCTCCAATGTTCATTTTTCAATTATTTTACATTTGATACAGCTGTCAAATGTGTTACACAGATGGTTTATTGTTCTACTTAAATGCCTGTATGAGTAAAAAAAAAATAATGATACATTAAATTTTCCCCTATATGATTGCAATATCACTGTATTAAACACACACATTTAATTTGGCATTTTGATTTATGGTAGGTAATAAAAATAAAGGATTTGGGTAAATCAAATTTTACCTTTTGGTAGTTTGGAAACATCAAGAAGTGGTGTAACCGGATGAAGCAATGACGGTAACACAGATGTACACCTTTTTCTCAGATTCTTTAGGAATGGATGATTTAGTAGAATGGTTGCTGTAGGCCTGAAATAGTAAAACTAGAAATGTGTCCATAGGACACGGGTGCCCCCACCGCGCCACTGTTCTGTCAATCTTTTTACAAAGTCAAGGGAAATAACTCTACAAATACTGGAAAAATCCACAAGCGAAACCCCAGATGCAAATCTAAAATATGCTGGGCAACCTGCCCATAAGGTTTAATGACTATGTCAAATCCTTTTTGAGAAGCTTGCGACTTAAGTTGAAAATTACAAAAATTTTCTAAGTGAAGGGCAATAACTCTAAAAATACTAAATAAATCCAGACGAAAATACCTGGTACACAACTGCACATGCTGATCAATATTCCTGTAAAGTTACATGACTCTAGGTCAAATACTTTTTGAGTTACGTGCGACACATGTTGAAAATTGCCAAATTTTACTAATTTTACTAAGTCAAGGGCAATAACTCTGAAAATACTAAAAATATCCAGACGAAAATACCCAGGTGCACAACTACACATGCTGATCAACATTCCTGTAAAGTTTCATGACTCTAGGTCAAATACTTTTTGAGTTACGTGCGACACAAGTTGAAAATTGCAAAATTTTACTAAGTCAAGGGCAATAACTCTAAAAATACTAAAAATATCCACACGAAAATACCCAGGTGCACAACTACACATGCTGATCAACATTCCTGTAAAGTTTCATGACTCTAGGTCAAATACTTTTTGAGTTATGTGCGACACAAGTTGAAAATTGCAAAATTTTACTAAGTCAAGGGCAATAACTCTGAAAATACTAAAAATATCCAGACGAAAATACCCAGGTGCACAACTACACATGCTGATCAACATTCCTGTAAAGTTTCATGACTCTAGGTCAAATACTTTTTGAGTTACGTGCGACACAAGTTGAAAATTGCAAAATTTTACTAAGGCAAGGGCAATAACTCTGAAAATACTAAAAATATCCAGACGAAAATACCCAGGTGCACAACTACACATGCTGATCAACATTCCTGTAAAGTTTCATGACTCTAGGTCAAATACTTTTTGAGTTACGTGTGACACAAAAGTGAACGGACGGACGGACGGAAGGACGGACGGACAAGGGTAAATCTAAATGCCCGCCACTAACGTGGGGGCACAATAAGTAAATATAAGACTGGCTTTTGAATCTACAACTATTTGAAAATTTGAGTAAAACAATACTAGTACACAACAAAACTGTATAATCTATGGAACATTACTGATTTCTCAAAGCTTGATGTAAATATGTTAAAGCTGCATGCCTCCAGATGAGCCAAAATATTTCACGAAAACCAAATTTCAAAAAAATGTACTAAGATTTTAGGAAAAGTAAAATGATTCAAGATTCCAGTAATAATGTACATATTATTTGCAATTAATAACTGATTTTGCAGCATATTTCTACTGCGTTTGTCATACAGAAATGACTGTTTTTTTTTGCATATTTTGTCTTCTTTTAGGTAATTTACATGGGCTGTAAGTGCTGTTTACAATGTGAAAATTACTTTCTTTGCCCACTTCACTGTATTGTTTGGGTTTTTTTAAATAATTTTTTTTTAATATACAGTAAAGACTGTTTACAGTGACCTTCGATGGGAGAAAAGAAAAAAGGTCATTATAGACAGGGAGTCACTGTGGACAGTCTCTACATAATTCGGATATATGAACATATCATACCAATATTTTGTTGAAAAGCAGGATAGTACCATACTAAGGGTTTAATTATATTTTTATTGATATTAAATATATCAAATATCATTTATAAAAAACAAGAGAGTATTAAAATTGCATGTATAATTGGTTAAGATTATAAACTACACCATAACATTAGTATTCAAAAGTTACATATTCATTAAAATGTAATTTATATTGATAAATCTGTTTTGAAAAAAAATGTTTTATTTCAATTTTCAATCAGCCTGTTTACTTTACGGAGTTCAATGTATTAATAAAACATTTGATACAAATCTGCACATAATTTCTAGAGATAAGTGCTCCGAAAAAAATAACAATCGAGGTTTCAAACATAACCACACCTTTAAGACGTTTGGCATTGTTTATCTTTACTCGCCAAAACACCGCAGCAATTATTTATATGCAGGTGTCTTTAATCATTTTATCGGCGAAAATTGATTGAATCTGTCGCCATTTTGTGTAATTGTCAACAAACAGCCACAGTGTATAAGCGTGTCGCCGATTGGTCAATGCAAACTGCCGTAGATACAACGCGCGTTCTGATTCGTCAATCGCATGAATACGTAATGAGAAAGATAAACATAGTGAACTCTTGACTTGCGGCGTGTATTGAACTGTGTTGATGTTGACACGCGTTCTTAATTAGCGGATTAACGGTAATTGGTTGTAATTGACAGGTAAACAAATTATTAACAGACCTAGCGGCGTAAATAAGTATGACGGAAAATTATAAAAATCGGGCGACTTCAAAATCTCTTTGAACTTGAAGCAAAGTCGCTGATCCGAAGGCGACTTCTTCGCCAAAGTCGTTACCTAGTTCAAGCCTTGCTCCCCTTGCTAAAGTCGCTGTTCACGGCTCAAATACCGTAACGGGTGACTAAATCATGGTCGTTGTACGGATTAGACAGGGAGTCGCTACAAACAGACCATTTATATAGTAAATACTGTTCGGCGCACCTAACTATGGTCACTAAAGACAGAACGTCGCTATATACAGGGGGTCGCTAAGACAGTCTTTACTGTATAAATAAACATTTAATTCATAAATATCTACCTTCTGTCCGGATCTCGTTCTAGACACAGTTCTACAAACTGGTGAAAGTTCTGGGTGAATGTTCTATTATAGGCATAACCTAGGGCACTGTTCTTCTGGATGGAGCCTGACACGTTATCTATACCAGAATCCTCTGGAACATCTGTGTGTATGAAATATATATATATATGAGCCGCATCATGACAAAACCAACGTAATGCGTTTGCAACCAGCATGGATCCATGCTGTTAGCTTACAAACCCTATAACAAGTAGAAGATCAGATAGCGAACAGCATGGACCCTGATCTGGTCTGGATCCATGCTGGTTGCAAACCCACTATGTTGGTTTTGTCTTGACGCTGCTCATATTATATTCTTACACAAAATTATCAACCTGGATATTTTAGCATTTGCACAGATACTAGTTACCATACATCACCTAGATGTAAGATAAGCTATGTGCTTTGAATGACCTTGTTCTGCTGCCGTTATGAAATAAATCTACATCAATGAGCTACTATAAGGAAATAGTGTTCAATAAAAAACTAAATAAAAATATGTCTTTGTTATATTTTTTAGAACTTCAATCAATTAATATCTTGTGGTGAACTTTGGGTTCTGGTGACCTAGGTATGTTTATTAAAGCTGCACATAAAAGCCATTATCAACTTTTAAGGGTTTTTTTTCTACAGTAAAGCTAGCTGAACATTTCATACCAGAGTTTGTGACATTTTCATCGGCTGTGAGATCTGCAATTGTTGTACAATCGGCTAACACCGGTTTTGTTCCATTTAATTTTTCTAGTAACATCTGAAAATAATTAAGATCCATAAAGTATGTAGAACCTGCTATGCATGTATAGTATATTTACATCCTCGGTAACCCAGGCTATTTACCATATACCAGTGTGTGTATGTAGTATATATGAAATGAGTAACGTGGATTCAGACAATGGTATATTAATGTATGGCTAACCTTACACTGATAGACGTAGTCTGCCCAGTTAGCTCAAAAGGGAGATAATCAGATTTTTTATCGACGGTAGCTGGTTCAATCCTCGGCGAGGGCAAAATTTCTGCGTGAAAAATGATCTTGACATTAAGTCTAAAGGATATTTGTCTTTTACTGCTGATTCAGATGTCATGTGTGATTAATAGTCTAGTAGAAGGACACTTGCAGAGATATTCATTATTACTAATAATACTGATTGGTTATCCAGGATAGCTGTGTTTAGGTGGACAGATCCCCAAGATATTAAAATTGACTTTAAAACCAAATTGAATAAACAAACATACACTTTGGAGAATGAAAAAATTATACATTTTTTTTTCTCTAGACTCAATTTAAAAGAACGGTAGTCATAAAGTCACATACAAATTTCTTCATCTTCTGATACTAAGTAATAGGCCTATAAATTTGTGTACAGTGTTACAATAGTGGGATCATTTGTACAACAATATTTTATCACTGGTATAACAATAGTGTAAGTTGAAACAAATTTGGCATTTATTGATGTTTAAAACAAGTACTGGTACAAGCTTAGTTAAATGAGCTATTTGACATGAGATGACTAAAAAATAATCAAATAATTTCATAAGTGCACCACCTAAATCAATTTCTTTTACCCTTAACCAGCCAAATAACTTAAATGAACTTGTCCAGTTTTAAATCTACACAAAACCACACATTATTTAATTATTTTCACGGAAAATTTCAAAATATGTACTGACTGAATAGTAAGCAGTGACGACCATGATCAGCCGGCTGACCTTGTTCTGCACTGGATACATGGGTGAAATCAGTTGCCATCAGCCGGTTAATGGTTATAATCTGTCACAACATTCAACTTACCTGTGTGGCGGGCATATCAGTAAATGGAGCATAACCATTGGCCAGTTCACAAGCTGTTATACCAAGACTATAGATGTCTGACTTTGTATCATAACCACTCAAATTCTGAAATGGTGAAATACATTCATGTATAAACACCACTCAACTGCAAAAATTAATCATGTGAATCATCATCACTTAACATCTAGTTTTTTAAATTCTTACCATCACTGTAAAGGTCATCTGGTAACATTCCAGCTGTCTTGGTGGAGAACATTCTCAGGAATCCTTCTGTGCATTAATTCAGGCATAAGCACACATGGCACCTTATAATAACCATTGACCTTCTGTGAGCTAAGCTGGATGGCATTTTTATATGAAAGAATCTTAAGTCCCTAACCTGATTCAAACTCACAGTCACAGATGAGGGGCAATTGATTTCAAAGTCAACTACTTTAATAACTTGTCAAAGAGGCCTGGTCAGCCATGAAGGCCTTTCACAACAATAAAATAAACACAATTTAACCACAGAAAAATATTTCCAGCATAACTCAAATCAAAACCACATATTATCTACAACAATAAAGAATATGGTATCAATGTTTAGTCTGCAAGCGTATATAGTTTCTTAATCTTTTCAAAATTATTCAACAGATATATGTTAACATGATAGTCAAAAATCCATTTTTCACCTGACAACTGTACTAACAGGTACTTTAGTCATGTACTGTGAATATATATTTAGCATAACCACTACTGTACACATGGATTTCATTTCACCAAATACTTATTTTCCATGGAATATGAAATACTTTCCAATGGAATATAATATACCAAACGTCAAGAGTAATACCTGTTCAAGTATTTCTGGACTAAACCAACAGAGCATTTTTCGAGGATTGTCTGGATATGTATACACTAGTTTCCGCAATTCTCCATGCTGTAAAAGTTGAAAGGCATTTCTCATACCCGACAAACACACACGACCCGCAGCTGATATAAGTATGTGACTAGATTTCACTCCCCTGAAAAGGTACATAAAATAATTATATTCCTGCAATTTGATTGGATGATAACAAATGGATATTCTAATATTTGCGTAATATAATATGCTAATCTACCTCCTGAGAATTGTCATATATTCAGATATACAACAACTTCTATCATAAGTTTCGTAACAAACATTAAAAGACATGGTTCTTTCTTGTGGCCGTTTGTAACACTTTTTCAATGTTTAATCATTAGTCATTTCAATGTTTAATCATTAGTCACTAAATTTATAACATACATACTATATGTACTACAAAATTATGTGCAGAATAATGAATAATTTATAAAACATGCCCTTGTTTCTACCATAATAGGCATAATTTGAAAATATACATATAAAAACATCTAGAATGTTTGTAATAACCTGTGTATTATCCCTTTAGTATGAAGGTATTCTAACGCATTTAGAATATCTCTTAGTATATAAGCAATCGCTTGTTCTGGCAACCCACTGGTAAAATATGCATGCATCAAATCTCTGCATGAACCTATAACATAAATATGAATCATAAATCACAAGATATACATGAAAGACAATACAGCATAAATAAGCATAATTATTGTTTTCATGATTTCATTCTTAAAGAATTCAAGTCTCAATCAAACTCAGCCTATTGTCTGTTTATCTGTATTTAACGCCTATTTTAACACATTTTTTGGTCATTTCCTGATGGTCAGTTCACTCTATCTGCTTTCCTGGATAAATTACCAGTAATAACTAATTTCTCTGCAAGTGACCTGACTGCAAATCCAAAATGATTTCAGTGGTAAGAGACAACTGACCATCACACTTTTTTCAAGTCCCAGATAAACTTTCACTGAAAAATTTTGGCCTCATATAAGGATCAAACTAGTAACCTCCTGATAACAAACCGGATTATCTCCCTATAAAGCAAGGTCGGCTGTCAAATTCCAACTACACATTGACTGAGAATACAACGAAAAATAAAATAATCAATTCATCCTTGCTTACTTGATGGAACAAAAAATTTTTATAAAACATTTCCACATGGAAAATCTTAATGTACAATAACCATCATTTAAAAATTATTTTGGTAATGAATATTTCAAGAAACAATTACCGTAAGCCATTAAAGGCATAATGGTCCAGACTTCATTATTGTGTACAAACGAGGTATAGTATGGTAAGATAGCTTCATGGTTAAGCTGCCTACACAACACTATCTCATTCTGAAACATTCAACAAGATTTTATATCAATCCCTGCCATGAAAGGTGCCATGAAGAAACACCTTCAGCGACTTTTATAGTGGCTAAGGCAGGCCATATTGCACATTAGTGCAGTTTGTCAATGGTCTATACTGCTGGGTGACAAACTTTTTGATATCCCTCAAATTGATAAATGGACATCACCAAAAAGGATAAATAGGCATGTCAATTAAAAAACTTCAGCCGCTTATTGGTTTTATTAATATCAGAAAATAAATGACAGATTGCTCTCATTCTGAATATCACAAGACATTTATATAGTAATAAAACTGTTAAAGATTACAAAAGACCTTTTCATTAAACTTTAAAAAGGACAAAACTCAAATGCCTCTCCATTTTCATCATACAGGGGTATTAAAATCAACGCATATGTAACAAATGTAGTGTTACAACAGTTTCTGTTAGTTACTCTAAAATTCACAATTTGGACATTTTACTATAATTTTTCCCCAATTCCAATAGTACAGGTGGCATTCCCAAAATGCTGAAAAGAATGTGTAGAAAACTTACCTGGACAGAATTCACACTTGCTTCATTCTCTAATTTGTCAAGATCCACCTGTCTGATGGCCACATTATGACCTGAGGCGATGTGTTTAGCCACTGATATAGTAGCAGCCTCATTACAACCTTTACCTGAAGAAACAGAAAATTTACTTCACACTCCATTTGGTAAATGATTTTTATACTAGAAATGTGTCATCATGCCACGGATGCCCCCGCATGCAGCCAAAATTTCAAATGTTATAATATTTAGTTCCAAATTTGTTTGCACAAATTATTTTTTTCATTCTTAGTTCAAAGCCCTTAAAACTTTTCAATGTTAACACAAACCATTTTTATACAATGTTCAAGGCACTGAAATTATAATTCAGTCTTAACCTTTTAAAAATAGCATATTGCATATTTGTAGCCAACATAATGGCTATATACATTTCCACAAAAGTATGAGTGCTGAAACTGAAAGTTCAAAATTTTTCCAACATTCAGGAAAGATAAGTTTGTCTAAAATCATTGAACCACCACCAAATTCAAACTTAAACTGCTTATTCCTAAGATGTATCTATATTATTTTCAAAGTGAAAGGGACATAACTCTGCTAAAAAATCATCGAACCATGACCAAATTCCAACTTGACCTGCGCATTCCTTTGACATATCCATATGTCAATTTTGAGTTGAATATGTAACACTGTTGGGTTGATAATAAACAGAAACTGTAAATTTCATATCATTTTCAAAGTGAAAGGGGCATTACTCTGCCAAAAATCATTGAACCATGACCAGATTCGAACTTGGTCTGCGCATTCCAAAATCATATCCATATGTCAAATTTGAGTTGAATGTGTAATATTGTTGGGGAGATAATAAACGGAAACTGAAAATTTCATATTATTTTTAAAGTGAAAGGGGCATAACTCTGCCAAAAATCATCGAACCATGACCAAATTTGAAATTGACCTGCGCATTCCTTTGACGTATCAATATGTCAAATTTGAGTTGAATGTTTAATACTGTTGGGGAGATAATAAACAGAAACTGAAAATTTCATATTATTTTCAAAGTAAAAGGGGCATAACTCTGCCAAAAATCATTGAACCATGACCAAATTTGAACTTGACCTGCGCATTTCTTAGACGTATCGATATGTCAAGTTTGAGCTAAATGTGTTGTACGATTGGGGAGATAATGAACAGAAACTGAAAATTTCATATTATTTTCAAAGTGAAAGGGGCATAACTCTGCCAAAAATCATTGAACCATGACCAAATTTGAACTTTTTTTTTACCTGCGCATTCCTTTGACGTATCCATATGTCAAGTTTGAGTTGAATGTGTTGTACCATTGGGGAGTTAATGAATGGAAACTGAAAATTTCATATTATTTTCAAAGTAAAAGGGGCATAACTCTGCCAAAAATCATCAAACCATGACCAAATTTGAACTTGACCTGTATTTTCTCATGACATATCAATATGTCACGTTTGAGTTGAATGTGTTGTACCGTTCGGGAGATAATGAACGGAAACTGAAAATTTCATATTATTTTCAAAGTAAAAGGGGCATTACTCTGCCAAAAATCATCGAACCATGACCAATTTCGAACTTGACCTGTATTTTCTCATGACATATCCATATGTCAATTTTGAATTGAATGTTTTGAACCGTTTGGGAGATAATGAACGGAAACTGAAAATTTCATATTATTTTCAATGTAAAAGGGGCATAACTCTGCCAAAAATCATCGAACCATGACCAATTTCGAACTTGACCTGTATTTTCTCATGACATATCCATATGTCAAATTTGAGTTCAATATGTGCAAGGGTTATTAAGATAATGAACGGAAACTGATGATGACGGAAGGACGGAATGACGGAATGACGGAATGACGGAACAGGGTAACACTATATGCCCCTGCCATTATATGGCGGGGGCATAATAAATGCAGAAGACACGAACTCTGGATAAAAATAATTTCACTATAAATGACCTTCTATTGGTGACTGTCAGATCCTAATGCAAATAAATAAAATACAAAATAGAGAAAGCAGAGTTCCTAAAAGCACCCCAAAACAACATTGAAAATGTTGCAAGCACGGTCTAATTCAAAGACTTATTTTGGAGCTGATTTAAAGCAAGGTCTTAAATATGGGAAAATCCAACAACATTTATGAAACTTGCACAAGAACAAGAGCTGTCGGTAGGACAGCATGCTCGACTATTCTTAGTGCTTGATAGTAAAAAAAATGCCTGATACAGTTACCTCCTCCTGTTTACAGGTTGGGGTCATGATGGTGAACAAGTGTGCAAAGTTTCAAAGCCATATGTCAATGGACTTTGAAAATATTTGAACTATTACAAAAACTTTAACGTAAATTCTAAGGCGAAAAAGGGGCATAATTCTGTCAAAATGCTTGATAGAGTTACCTCCTCCTGTTTACAGGTTGGGGTCATGATGTTGAACAAGTGTGCAAAGTTTCAAAGCCATATGTCAATGGACTTTGAAAATATTTGAACTATTACAAAAACTTTAACGTAAATTCTAAGTCGAAAAAGGGCATAATTCTGTCAAAATGCTTAATAGAGTTACCGCCTGCTGTCTACAGGTTGGGGTCATGATGTTGAACAAGTGTGCAAAGTTTCAAAGCCATATGTCTATGGACTTTGAAAATATTTGAACTATTACAAAAACTTTAACGTAAATTCTAAGTCGAAAAAAGGGGCATAATTCTGTCAAAATGCTTGATAGAGTTACCTCCTCCTGTCTACAGGTTGGGGTCATGATGGTGAACAAGTGTGCAAAGTTTCAAAGCCATATGTCAATGGACTTTGAAAATATTTGAACTATTACAAAAACTTTAACGTAAATTCTAAGTCGAAAAGGGGCATAATTCTGTCAAAATACTTGATAGAGTTACCTCCTCCTGTCTACAGGTTGGGGTCATGATGGTGAACAAGTGTGCAAAGTTTCAAAGCCATATGTCAATGGACTTGAAAATATTTGAACTATTACAAAAACTTTAACGTAAATTCTAAGTCGAAAAAGGGGCATAATTCTGTCAAAATGCTTGATAGAGTTACCTCCTCCTGTCTACAGGTTGGGGTCATGATGGTGAACAAGTGTGCAAAGTTTCAAAGCCATATGTCAATGGACTTTGAAAATATTTGAACTATTACAAAAACTTTAACATAAGTGGTTACGCCGACACCGACGCCGATGCTCGGGTGACTGCAATAGCTCTACTTATTCTTATCGAATAGTCGAGCTAAAAACTACATAAAGCTTTGAAAAGTTCTGCTTAGTAACAGTTTTTGGATGTTTCATAAATAGAGGATATTGAATAAGTGTAGGTTTAATTCTAAATTTATCAAACATGTTGAATAAAATCATATTATGTGAGCCTATGTTGAGAATAATATTGTTTAATTCAATGAGTTCAATAAATTAAGTATTGCATCTACACAAATATAATATTCTATTTATCACATGTGCAAAATAAGAACAGCTTACAATTAAAAACAATCTTTTTAATTACACGCCTATGGTGTAATGCTACCATAACTGCGCTTTAACGCTATCTTCGTATATAATACAAACGACGTCACATCAAAGTGAATTTACACTAGTGTAATATTTTTCGTATTAAATAGAGGATATTGAATGAGTGTAAGTTCAATACTGAATTTATTGCACGAGTTGAATAAAATTATATTATGCCAGCCTCTGGCGAGCATAATATTATTTTATTCAACAAGTGCAATAAATTCAGTAATGAACTTACACTCATTCAATATTCTATTTATCAAAGAAAAGAGTCATTTTTCATTGACGCGCCTATAGTATAACGCTATTATTTAGCGCGTCTTTACACTATGTTTGCTGACGCTAATGACGTCACGTCAAAATATATGCACAGCCGTGCAATACCATATTTACGGAGTCGCAAAATCTGCACGGGTGTATGATAAAAGAGAGGATATTTGTTAAGTTCAGTGTAAGATCGGAATATATTCACCGAGTGAGCACCAAAAGGTATATTTCACGAGTGGCGCAGCCACAAGTGAAATATGAACTTTTGGTGTTCACAAGGTGAAATATATTTCGATCTAACACTAAACTAAACACATTTTCTTTTTATTACATGCTAAGAAACGATTAAAAAGACATTTTATCCTAGTAATAAATGAAAAGCGCCCAAAATTCTAATACAACGTGACGTCATTTACGACGTCATGTCATTAAGTTGGTACCCAGTACTGTGCACGCTGGTATTTCACTGAGACAACGTAACGGGCTTAAATTCAAAACAGTGAAATTATCAAATTGATAATTTCACTGTTTCAAACAGTGAAATTACCAGTTTATAAATCACTGATATATTTCTATAATCCACCGAAAAGCATGTAATAAATGGCTTTATTACACTCCTGTGATGTATTTTATGTGATATAAACAATATTTTGTCAAATAACTCAGGACAGATCCTATTCTCTATAGATGTTTATCATTTAAATGCCTTGAAACACTTACCTATGGTAGTATAAATATCATATTGCAATGGTTCATTGCCATATTCCAACATTATATTTGGGAAATCCCCTTTGCTAGAATTCTGGCTACCTACAGGAGATGTTGCATTCTGGTCCTGCAAACCAAAAAGAAAAGCAACTTTAGAGCAAAACTTAGCAAACAATTTTTTAGATTTATTGTCCCCCTTGTGACTGAGGGGTAGCCCCCTTGTGGTTGAGGGGTAGCCCCCTTGTGACTGAGGGGTCATGGCATCAGAAATGCAGCCACTGTTTATCCCTGCGTGATCGTAAGAGGGAACTAAATGGGTTCAAATTTATTGAGTCTATGCAATTCTTAGCTCCAGCAGGTGAGGTGGTTTTGGTTGGTGCACCATAAAACCAAACCAAACCAACAAAATATTCATGAAAAGAAAACCAAATGATGTTATCAATGAGAAACAAACTATATAATTTTATGAATAAATTCATTATTTCCTAGCAAGAAATCTTCAGAACTAAAAAAAGTGCTTTCCATAAAAAAGTACTATGACTTACATCCCATTGAAGCTATTCTAAATATTCTATTTTTTTTTTCATGCTGGTAAGAAATATCAATTGTTGTTTACCCCTTTTTGAAGTATGATCTACATTTATCCTTATCTGGCAAATACATATATGTTTGAAGCATAATGATGTATTTCTAACTGTAAGTAGTCAATTTGCATTTAAAATTTCAAAATACATGTAGCTGTTTTTTCAGCATTTAAGTTTTTAACTTTAGAATTACATAAAGCACTTTTCAACTTTTACTTGAAGAAAAAGAAGAACCTCTTGTACAATTTTGTGCATTATTTCAACACATCATGACATAACCAATGTGTAAAACCACCAAATTTCTGTAATCTTACATGTTTGTTCGTCTGATTGGGTTTTACATCTCACCAACAGAGTATAGCCCATATGGCAACTTCCCGCAATACTGGTGGAGGAAGACCTCAGGTGCCCTTCCGTGTATTATTTCAGGCACGAACGGGCATCTAAGTAGAACCATCAACGTTCCATATGCTAACTGGATAGCTTCCTCACATGAAAGAATTCAAAGTCCCTGTCGAGATTCAAACCCACAGCATGTAATCTTACATCATACATGTATAAGACTTACCTAGAAACAAGGTTCTAATCAAATTGATAACACAGAGAAAGGAAGAACAAAATACCTTGCTTTTCAAATATTTTTCCTTGTCATATGGTGGGGAGTCTGTTGGACTTGATACTTTTTCACTTGATCTGCTACAATTCTGTAAGGAATTGATAATGCCAATTATATATGAATTTACATTCATTATATCAAAGAAACATTGAAAACAAAGCATTTCATAAGTAAATGAAGAGATGAATTTATGTTGAAATTATTAACTCATCAAAGATGAACACAAGATGAATTTATGTTGAAAAATATTCCATATCAAAGATGAAAAAGAAATGAATTAATGTTGAAAATATTATCTTTCAAATATGAACACAAATGAAGTTATGTTGAAAATATTCCATATCAAAGATGAGCACAATATGAATTTATGTTGAAAAGATTCGTTATCAAATTGAAAAAAAAACTTCACCTTGTTTGGAGGTGGGAAGACATTTTAAGATTGATGAAAAGAATAAAAGAAATTCTAGATGATAATTTTTTATTATGACATCCATTAATCAACTGAAAAATCACCAGTCCTTTATTAAATATAACAGATATTTCAATCAATAAAACAATAAAAGTTCTAAAATTCTAAAGCTTTTTATTTTGAAGGGGAGGGGGAGAGAAAATTTTGCACAGCTTAAGCAAAGCTTTGTGCAACATATCCAATTAAAATATTTCTTAATTATCTTCATATATAAAGCACACTTGCAATCAATTAATAAAGTGGCAATGAGCATTTACAGTGCTTTAAGAGCAAAGAAAGGTGTTTCCTGCAGTATTTGAAACATTTCAATGGCATACTCCGAAACAACAAATTTGGAAAGAAGTTCTAACAATGTGACTTCTTCATAATAACAAAAGCTGAGGGTGTAATCTTTGCATTTTAATTAACAGAGGTATTTATCAAACATCAAAAGAAATTAATTAACATATCATTTTAATATTAGATGATTTTAAAAATTCTGATAATCAGAATCATTTGATGACATCTGTTATATCTTCAAAAGCTTTATGTCTTTCTTACTTTGGGTTTGTTCAAACATAATAATCAGCAAATAATTAATGAACATTTCTCCTACATATATCTTTGAATTTACTTTAAGACAACATAAATTGAGATAAAATGATTCAATAATTTCAAGCAATTACTTCTTCACAGGATAAATTTTATTACAGTGTTCCACTAAGGTTATTCAAAATACCGTAATTTTCCAGTTACTGTACATTTTGTATGCTGATAACAGTTTTCAACGTCATTGTATTGTATTAACCTAATATCTATATATTAAAGATATTGAATTCCTGCTCCCAATACTAGATGTTATCCGGAACTCACCAAACTAATCCATAGGTACAAACTTTTTACTGTTATAGCTTCACAGTGCATTACCTGTTACAATGGATTAGTCAACCTGTTGCACTTATTTTCAAAGGTTTGTTTGTACCTACAAATCAGCTAAAAAAACCCAAAATATTCTTAATTCCAGGGTAAGTCTATTAAATAGATATGCATATAAAAATTGAACAACAAAAAAACAAAGCAAAGTATAAAATCTAGGCAACTTCAGCTTGTGGCAAATTATTTAATAAAATTTGAATCAAACATGTTTCAATTTAAACAAAAATGAAATGTCCTCTTTTAAAAAAATGAAAATTAAAAATTTTAATAAAATTTAAAAAATGAACAAGTGCGACATTTGAATAAACACCATGAAACACCCATCTCCTGGTTACCATGACCCTGTTACCTCAAGTGGGTTTGGTGGATGGAGCTAATCAAGGTGCATGCACAGGTGAAGATTGGAGACTAGGTGGAAGCACTGTCAAGTACCTGAATAAAGTTAAAGGTTTTTTGGCAAAAATGAGACCCCCCCCCCCCCCCAAAAAAAAAAAAACAAACAAAAAAAAACAAACAAAAAACACCAAATACAGACAGACCAAAGACAATGTCCACCTGATCAATTAATCTTGGGGCATAAAAATATATGATGTATATACATGTATACAACAACTATAACATAAATGATAAAACAAGCTGTTAAACTGTAACAAAACAAGTCTGATACTTATATGCAGTTACAAATTGACTCACTTCTACCTGTAAAATAAATATTATTGTTAATTGTTTCAGTATGTGTACAATGAACATTTATAAAAATGAAATATTTTTTTTAGGCTGGGTTTTGTTGTAAGTCAAATCAACACTGTAAAATTTAGTCATGTTGCTCCTTTTCAGCTTTATTGGTGGACCTCATCAGCTGGATAGCTTCTTCACTTCACATTTCTTCATTTTTGTTTTTGTTTCTGTCAGTGTTAAAGTTTAAAGAGAATCACTGTAGCATGTTAGGAGTAAACTGGGAAGAACATACAACTGCAAGGACGGAGACCATTTCAAATATATATCCCCCTTTACCTTTGTCTAGGGGATAATAAGGGTTAATGTAAGTTATTATCGTTCATTATTAATGCTATCAGTTGTTTTTTACAATGCTAAATATCATTAAGAATAAGAGAAAATTTATTTACCAAGAATGACATTGATGCTGGATGTTGTAGTCAGTCCCCTAGCCTGGTCAGTTTTAACATATCCTCTTCTTTAGGTGTGCAAATGAATCAGTTAGTGATAGGACAATTGCAGTTATCAAAAGAACCTAAAATATATAATACCAATAATATATTATATAGATTTAATTCACTGTTTTAAGAAATAATATGAGGCTATCGTATAAAGTTGAATACTACTGGACAAGTACACAAATAAACCTTACTAAACAAGATTTATATATTTCTTGTGTTTTTTGTTGTTGTTGGGAATCAGTCAATACTTTGGTCCTGGTGATAAGGTGAAAATATAGAATAAGAGAAGAATTCACACAAATTTTTTTTTTTTTCAGGACACGATGAAGACATTAACATAATCTGAAGAAATCGCTTCTGACACTATTTGGTAAGATCTAGATCCACAAATAGCTTACTGTTACAAACAGAATTGTGCATATATGAGGGTCCTACTAAACACTGCTAAGGACTGCTAAGGACCGCTAAGGACTGCTAAGGAGCTACAAAGGACTACTAGGGAGGCACAAAGGACCTTAAAATACCTCCTAGGGCATTCTTATAATACATGGTAGTATGTTTAGTGAATTTTTTTTTATAATTTTAAGAAAAAATATTATTTTGGTGAAAATTTTATGACTTGCCGGACCGCTAAGGACTGCTCAGATACACAAAAGACAGCTAGGGTGGCACAAAGGACCTTAAAATACCTCCTAGGGCATTCTTATAATACAAGATAGTATGTTTAGTGACAAAAAATGTATTATTTTAAGAAAAAATATCATTTTAGTGGTAAAATTTATGTTTTTGAAGAGTTGCCGGACCGCTAAGGACTGCTCAGGTGCACTAACAACTGCTAGGGAGGCACAAAGGACCTTAAAATTCCTCCTAGAACATTTTTATAATATATGGTAGTAAGTTAATAGACAAAAATGTATTATTGTAAGAAAAAATATAATTTTTGTGATAGAATTTATGCTTTTGATGAGTTGCAGGACCGCTAAGGACTGCTCAGGTGCCAAAGGACTGCTAGGGAGGCACAAAAGACCTTAAAATATTTCCTAGGGAGGCACAAAGGACCTTAAAATACCTCCTAGGGCATTCTTATAATACATGGTAGTATGTTTAGTGACAAAAAATGTATAATTTTAAGAAAAAATATAATTTTGGTGATAGAATTTATGCTTTCGATGAGTTGCCGGACCGCTAAGGACTGCTCAGGTGCACTAACAACTGCTAGGGAGGCACAAAGGACCTTAAAATCCCTCCTAGAACATTCTTATAATATATGGTAGTAAGTTAATAGACAAAAATGTATTATTGTAAGAAAAAATATAATTTTTGTGATAGAATTTATGCTTTCGATGAGTTGCAGGACCGCTAAGGACTGCTCAGGTGCGCAAAGGACTGCTAGGGAGGCACAAAAGACCTTAAAATATTTCCTAGGGAGGCACAAAGGACCTTAAAATACCTCCTAGGGCATTCTTATAATACATGGTAGTATGTTTAGTGACAAAAAATGTATTATTTTAAGAAAAAATATAATTTTAGTGGTAAAATTTATGTTTTTGAAGAGTTGCCGGACCGCTAAGGACTGCTCAGGTGCACTAACAAAGGGAGGCACAAAAGACCTTAAAATATTTCCTAGGGAGGCACAAAGGACCTTAAAATACCTGTTAGGGCATTCTTATAATACATGGTAGTATGTTTAGTGACAAAAAATGTATAATTTTAAGAAAAAATATAATTTTGGTGATAGAATTTATGCTTTCGATGAGTTGCCGGACCGCTAAGGACTGCTCAGGTTCACAAAGGACTGCTAAGGAGGCACAAGGGACCTTAAAGTACCTCCTAAGAAATTCTTATAATATATGGTAGTATGTTTAAATGACAAAAAATGTATAATTTTAAGAAAAAATATAATTTTGGTGATAGAATTATGCTTTCCATGAGTTGTAGGACCGCTAAGGAGGCACGAAGGACTGCTAGGAAGGCACAAAGGACCTTAAAATACCTCATTTTTATAATATATGGTAGTATGTTTAGTGAGAAAAAATGTATTGTTATAAGAAAAAATATAATTTTGGTGATAGAATTTATGCTTTCGATGAGTTGCAGGACACTAGTCTTGTATGTATAATTACAATGTATCATATAAATCTATATTTATACTTTTTTGTTAATGTTTATGTTGTTCTTGCGGAAACAAAACACAAGATAAATATAACAATTTGTCAGTAATTGTATGCAATGATAAGTGGTTTGATTTAAAAAAGTCGCAAAATCTTTAAGCAGCACGCCACGCCTCCAGATTCATGCTTATTTTCATGAAAATTTTGAAAATGTTTTTAAAAGTAAACAAGAAACATGGCAATGCCACGAAACCAGGTTTTCAATTATCTCCATTGTAGATAAATATGTTGTATTACCCGGGTGTAGATTTTCCGAGGTTTATGAAAAAAACCATGGAAACTGCTTCAAAAACCTTGGAAATAAACCAGTTTTACTAGGTTTTTTTTTAATTCCGAGTTTTTTTTTAAAAACCTTGGAAACTTTATCCAAGGTTTTTGTATAAAAATCCTTGGAAATAAAGAAAACCTTGGAAACTCTCTCGGAATTAAACACTATGCCAAAAATCAGCTCGGAAAAAGCTTGGAAAGAAGAACTTTGTCATTTTTTTGCTCGGAAAAGAACTTTGAAAATTTACGTAAAATTTGTTGGAAACACTTTGCCAATATTTAGCTTGGAAATGACCTGGGATAATTGAACTTAACTAAATTTTATCTCGGAAAATGTTAAGACATAATCATGATTTAACTTATAATGGGCATCAAAAGCAATAATCAACAGTTAAAGCAAACTAAGATAACAACCCGACTGTAGATTGCCAATGGATATTTTTTAATTCATGGTCAGAGCAAACAATTGTCCAACAGCATGGAAAGGAGAGATTTGGTCCAGGGAATCAATTTTTAGTATGGACATTGTCAATGGCCAACTTCCTTTTCAATAAATTTGTACCTGTACTTTAATCTTCTGAAGCCATTTTTTTGGGAGGAATCAATTAAAAAAATTTAAGTGTGAAAACATGGAAAAGTTAAATACAATGTAAATTCCTTGTTGCCATAAAATACCTTTTATTAATGGCTATAAAGGTATTGTAACTAATCATAATAAGATAAAGATTATTCAAATAACTGATGATCAGAAAGACTTGAAAATTTTATTTTTTATTTTCATATTTTTTTTTTCATATTTTTTTTAATTATTTATAATTATTGTTACTAGATATCTTCTCCATTTTTAAGAATAGATAAAAAGAGCAAAACTTATAATTATACAAAAAGAAACAATCAGTGTTTATGTCTATTAGTTTCCAAATGCATCAGTATTTTTCCTGCAGTTTCTTTCTATATATAGACTTAACTTAGGGTTTCTTGACAGCCTGTAAGCAACACTGAAATAAAAATGCTATTAATCTTTAATATATGTTTTTATGCCATATAAAATAGTATATTCTACTAAGCAAGTCTGTGACATACATTCAGATTACAATTTACTCTGCCATTAATTATGTGTACAATAAACATAAATAGTTTTTTAATTGTCCTTTTAATATATAATTATGTACAATTAATGTGTAAAATATGTATGCTTGATAATTTCTTATAATTAAGATAAATAAATACTGCATCCACTAACTTTTCACACACAGAATATAACACACTGATCAGATAAAACTAATGGCACCCCAGGTGGTTCCCTCTATCGTATGCATGATCAATCTTCTCATTGAGCATTCTGGGATAGACCAGATTGTTCCATGTGATTATTCAGGGGGAGTCTGGGTTTTTATACAATCCAAAACAGTCTAAAATGACACTGCAACTGTGATTCTCTTTCAAGAACTTATTATAATTTTCAAGTTTTACTTTTATTTAACATTTGATATATTTGTACCTTCAATAAATGTAAAAATAAAATGATGATGGCTTTGATATTTAGGATCACCCCTGTTTCACATTATGATTGCCCCTTCAGTTATACTGTTGAAAAATTTGAATCTCAGACATTAATGGGTCAAGTGGTTATAGTTGGAAATAGTGCAAACCTGGATTTATTTTAAGCAATTTTGGACATATCTTGTTTTAAATGTTAGGGAGCATATTTTGGAATTTTCAAAGAAAACATTTATCTAAGTGTGACAAGATTCAGGAAATGTTTGGTTGTTGTAATTGAACCTAAAGATCAATGACCTGGAACAGGAAGATAAACAAAAGAAACATGATAGTAAAAAGGTTCAGGTAAATAATTTTAGATTCATTTATGCATAAAATCTGTTGTTGTTTTTTTTCAAATAAGTATTAAATACAAACTATTTTAGATCTATATTTTTAACCTAAATGTAAGCTAGTTTAAATACAATTGTTTAGAGGATATTTTATGAGTATAAATGTTATTTTTGTCTATGATTGTATTGAACAAGATGAGTGCATGAAACTATGATGATATTATTTATAAACTTTCATCTTTCATCTATTATTTGAATCTACAAATTTTTAATTACAGAGTCAACTTGTAAGCAAGTTTGCAGGACTGTTCCAAACTACAAGAAGATGGCAATCCAGCTTTGCTGTGTTTTATCATAGTATAAAGCAGAGGAATATACTGGAATGTCATTGGCATTGGCACAAAGGAAGCCAACTGTAGACCAGGAAAGGCTTCAAGGAATATACTACAGTATGTTTTTGTTTTAAAACTAGGTTTTGAAAGTTTCAATTTGAAATTTGAATGAATGAAGGTTTCTGGAACTGATTTTTTTATTGATACTTTGTTGGAAATGCTATTAATGTTACATGATGACTCTCCAGCTTTACTGATGCAGATGTCACTTTGAGCAGACAGATACAATTAGTGTAGGCAATCGGAATCACCTTATGAAAAGCGTTATTTTTTGCAATATTTTTAGAGTGCTTTAGGTTGTAACATCCAGTATGACATAATCTAAAATAATAGTAACAAACATCGTTTTTTTTCTTAACATCGCAGAATTGTCACACTGCTTAAGTTTTCTTGAAATCCTGACACTAAGTAC